TATATATTTTTTTTTTTCCATTTAATTCTTTGTAATCATTTGCAGACAGGCTTCTCCAGATGGGGAGGACACTTTTTTTATGGGGTGTTTGATGGACATCATGGAAGTCGAACTTCAGATTTTGCTGCACAGCGAATGCCAGCTGAAATCCTTCTAGGACAGTTAGATGGAAAAGAAACTGACAGTGATGTTCGGAAAATTCTACAAGAAGCTTTTCATGCTGTGGAAAAGGGATTTTTTGATTCAATTGATGATTTACTAGCAGAAAAAATAACTTTACAGCTCCACATACATGTAAGAAGGTTTCTTTTGTGTTTTATTTGAGGATTTTTTAAAATGAAAAAATATTATATATATTTGTATACAAAGTTATGCATGCACACACAAAAAGAGACTATTATGTGTTTTGTTTTAATAACTTATTTTGTATTTATCTCTGGAAGTACCATACTTGTTTGCTGTAAATAATTTTCATGTACATGTAGGTTTCAGGAGCATAATCATGTTGAAATCTAACTGATTACATATTTTATTTTTAGGTGTTTCTTTTTATAGAAGCAATATGCATGTCTAATGTAGGCTTAGTAATAAGAAACATAAATTAAAAACTGTCGCGCCAAGTCAGCAAGGATGTAGTATCAATAGTGTAGGTGCATCTCTAACTTCAAAAAATAAAATTCATTGGTTGATGTAGTAGACTATCTACAATTTTAGGTAATGTAGAAAGCAGTCTGCACAAATATGCAAGTTAGGGAGACATTTAATGTTTATAGTTAACATAATTTGTTGTTTAAAAGATGTTTTATCATGAAAAACTTTTTTAAATTGTACATTCATAACAATACATTAGAATTTTCTCAATTAAAATGAGGTTAAAAAATTTTTGACATTTTTCAGGAAGAATAAATGTCATTTTTTATTTAATTTAAACAAGGTTTGCTCTTTTATTTGAAAGATTTTGTCTCTTCTCTGTTGTCCTTTAGTATTGTCTTGATCAACTTAGAAGAAATTGATTGAGGTAAAAATATTAGTTTCACTTGCCCATCTTTTAAGTCAAGGAGGGCTTCAGGTTTCATTTTAAAACACATTAAACTGATTCAGCTGTCAGTGAACAACTTGTCCCTGAACTTCTATTTATTTTTTCATTATGAAGGCAACTACTTATATGTTGTACCACCAACTAATGGAGTGATCTTTTAAAATAAAGATTCAGTGATAACACTCTCAATAAAATAATAAAAACTATAATTTATTAGTAGCTTTGAGCCTTCTGTAGGTTCTTACACTAAAATAGCTACAACATAACTTGTTTTAGCTAGTTTAGTGTAAGCACATGAAAAAGGCTGAAAGACAAAAATTTATGCTATTAATAAATCATCATTTTAAATATTTTATTGAGTGTGCTGGTCACTAAATCTATATCTTGAAATATTGAACTGTACTCTCTGTGGTTTCTCAGTACCAGTTTAAACAGTCCTATTGCACAGAAATCCATATATGTAGCATCCATGTTATTGTATGAAATAGCATAAATACCCATTTCATTCTCCAGCTGTTTAACCCTATTTCGAAAGGTCTTCCTATGGTCAGGGGTCAAAAGGCATGTCATCATATTTGTACTTACATTCAAAATTTTATTGAACCGCTATTTTATGAATGTATGTCAGTAAGTTTGGTATTAAAATATAGATTTGTTAATTTCTTATTTTAAAAGTAAATATAAAGAAAAACCGTAAATATCGATTTTTGTGTGTCACGACATGTTGAATGCAGCTTCCAATACAGTACATTACCTCCTCACACAAATATAGCTATTCTCATTCAGTGCTGCCCTCTGTATACAAAAATATTTTTTGCATGCCACGCACTCCCACTACCCCACAATTATTATGGTTCCACTGCATTCATTCATGCATTTTTTTCATTATTAATATCATATAAGTGGAAAGATCATTTCTAAATTTTACTATTGTTTTCTGTGCAAACTTACCTTAGTTATTCTTTTGTATTTGAATAACTTTCAGTATTTCATCATTTTATGATGAATACCAAAGTTAATGTTACCACTTCAGAGGTTATATCACCTGCTCTTACCACAATTACTCAGGCTTCAGGTTGGGAGAACTTGACTTAAGAATTTTTGGCCTTTATTCATCAGGAGATTGAACATTACCTGAGTCGACCTTCTTCTCCCGATAGTGCTTGATTTCCTCCTGAACTAACCAAATCTGTTTGTGACAATGAAAATTTTGACTGCCTTTTCCTCCTTCCAATTATGCTGTGCCTTCCCACACCTCTCCTATGGAATCTGCCAGGCATATTTCTGCCTTTTTAGGCATGATTTTTATGTACGTTCCATTTTATCCATTTCCCTGGTTTCCTATAATCCTATTCCTTCCTTATTATATGACACTCCTTACTCTCTCAGTATTTGGTTTTCCCTCCTCCTAATGTCATGGTTCATACTGAGCAATTTATTTCTCAGTTATCAGCTGGTGCTAGAATTTTTCTCCCTTCATGGCCCATGGATCAGTTTGCCTTGGTTTATCGTCAGGCAGATTACCCCTTTTCTGATTCTAAACAGTTAAAATCACTACTGCCAGTTTGGAGGGCTGACCCTGACAGTCCTGTTTGTTTATACATGGCCCTGTTTCCTGCTTTCATCTTACCCTTATGATTCTCCTTTCTGAGGTACTCCACTGTAATCCTGACGGATTTTTTTTGGGATAGCTTCTCCCTCATTACCTCTACATTGTTGAGATTGTCCACCTCAATGCTCTCTCTCTATATACACATGATTTCTTTGCTGTTGGGACCTTCTGGAGAGGGACACTGTCTTGTCCTAGATTTGTTTATCATCAACTTACCTTTGACATTTGTGGAAGGCTCCATTTCACCAACAGTTGATTTTAGGGGATATTACTGAAACTTTGAAATCATATATGGATTCTGTAAGGCAACATTTGACTCTCTCTTCTTTGGTGGTTGTTCATTTGTCTCAACCTAAACCCTTGCAAACCCCTGTTCTTGTTTCACGTCTGACATCCTCCTGTCCTTTATCTGTTCCTCCCATCAGGAGTTCCTCTGTTTGTTGTTTTTGTTGATGTAGGTCTCATCATTGCCAGCAGTACCAGTAGCTATCCAGTAAGTTCCAGTCTGATAGGTGCTTGGACCGATTTTGTTCATATATGGCTGGAATTCATAACCAATCGTTGGGTTCTTCAGGTTTTGTCAATAGGCCTTGTCATCCAGTTTCTTTCCCCACTCTCATTGTCTCCCGTACTCATATCCTTTCCATTACCTTGGAATCCTATTACCAGTCAACATCTGTCCAAGGCAGTCCAGCCTCTTCTATCACGGAGAGCTACTGAGCCTGTCAGCCATCATGTTCTGGGTGCTTTAACCTCATTGGTTTTCCCTCCTCCTAATGTCATGGTTCATACTGAGCCTCGAGACCAGACAAAATTTATTTCACGGAGTGGTCCTTCAAACCTCACATTTTCTATTGGCTATGCTCACAGTAGAGTATGCCTCATCTGGATGCACTTACCACCTTTTTAGTGCCAAAGTACCTCTCTTTTGGTCTCCGATGTTCAAATGCATTCATTCAGGATTGGGCCGGCCGATACCTTTATGTTTATCCTCCCATCCGTCTTCTTCTGAGGGCAATTTCAATCATCATGTCAGGTTTTCTTATTGCTCCTTACTGGCCAGCACAACCCTGGTTTTCTCCACTACTTGAACTTCGTACTGCCCTTCTGTTGCCTCTTCCTACCCTCCATCTTCATACCTGCCATTTATCAGGCCCTTGGTGAGGAGATCTGGATTGTCTCAATGGATTGCTTCTTTTTTTTTGTTCTATTCGCTCTTCCTCAATGACAGTTTATCAATGTAAATGGAATGTCTTCCACTGTTGGTCATTTGTTAGGGTTTTCCATTTCTTGACCCACCATTCCTCTTATTACCAATTTCCTCATTTGTCTGTTCGATCTTGGGACTTTGGTCTCGTAAATCGCTAGATATCAACCAGCCTTATCACACACTTCTATTTTTCTGGATACCATCTTGTGTTTACCTCCTCTATCCTCTCCTTTTTATTACATTCCTTCTGGATTCGTAGACCTCTTTGTTGAGCAGTCCTTTTGGATTGGGATGTCAGTGAGGTTCTTCAATGACTTATTTTACATCTGTTTGAACCTTTGTCCTCCTGTTTTTTGTTTCACTTTTCACTTACGACCTACTTCCTATTCCTATTAGTCTATGGGTGTTGCTAGTCTGATATATTTGCCATTGATGTCTCCTGCACTCTGTACCATTCCACATATGTTCTCCTTTATGCAGATCAATCTTTCCTTTCCAAGACTTCAGCAGCTTGTGAAAGTAATTCTTCCTTCTGTCTGATTTCCCTTCCTTCCATCTCCCATCTCTATTCATGTTCAGATCTGGATAGGCTTCTATGTCCCATATGTGCTCTTCATTGTTACATTTCCTGAATGGCTTCCTTCCATAGTTTTTGTTCTCCCTTTTCTTTATCTGGCAACATTACTCTGTTCGTGACTTTTCTCCTTCAACACATACCAAATGGGTTTGGCTTTTGATCCAGTTGGCTTATTCCTTATGTTCTTCTTCTTCCCGAAATCTGTTCCAGGTGTCATCACATCAGATCAGGCACCTGACCTTTTCCCTCTTATCTCACCTCCTTTTGCCATTCAAGGAAATTCTTCACTATTTGCATTGGGTAGCTGTTTCTTCCTTGTCAGGATACTGTCTTCCACCTGTCGCCATCCTTCAAACTTCAGTAAGATTGTTATTTTTTTATATACTTCCTTTCAGAGGCATATCCCTTTTTTACTGTTAGGATCCCACTTAATGCATTACAAATCTGCACTGTATGGCCATGATGCTATCATAAAATACTATATTCCCATGGCCAATAATGCACTCCATTGAGATGAGATGTTCTACAAGATTGCTTGTAGGTTTTTTCCTTGTGATATATTTGCTTCATAAGTATGCCTGTTCTGGACAGTACTAACCCATGGACTTCCATGGGTAAAGCAGAAGGGGATAGCTGCCCATCTTTGCCATCCCTTAGATGGAATAAATCAGGGGGTCTTCTTTTCAAAATAAGGTTTTTGTAGTCACCTGTTTGGTCTGTTTCCAGTGTTGGCATTCCTCCAGAATCTCCACTACATTGTATCCCCATTGTTCTTCAAGTGGAGTATGGAAGTCCTTGCCACTTTCCAATTCCAAGCTGCTGGGGTGGTGGACCATGGAAGTATCCTTCTAAATGT